ACATTACCCATACATAGGTTCTTTTATTATTATTAAAATTAAATCTTTAATTTTTAAAAATTTATTGTAACAATCGATTGTACATATCTGTGGGGTACAGTGTTGAATATCAATACCTGTATGCAATATGTGATGCTCAAATCAGGATAATTAGTATATTCAACATTACACGATGTAATCATTTTTTGTGGCCCTTTACTAATTTCTCGCTAACCCTCTGTCCCCCTCCCCTTTTCCCACTTCTGGTGGTGACTTTGTCTTCAGCCACAGCATAAGCATTTGTCATTGTTGTTTAATAAAGCCAAGGAATGTGTGTTTAGATTATTTAATGTAGTTATTCTTAAAAGAGAGAGAGAGAGACTGTGTGTGTGTGTGTGTGTGTTTGAACCTAGGTCCAAATGTATGTGAATGTGCAGCTATTTTAGGGAAAACTTTGTTTTTCTTTAAGTAAACATTAGCATGGCCAAACATGAAAAATTTGTGGTACTTGCATTAAAAAAAAGTGAATCTACTGTGAGCCATAGCACTTATTCATAGAACTCTTAAAGTGATTGGAATTTCATGGCCTAAAATAATATGTAAATTAATAATATTTAGAGACTAGCTCAAATAGCAGTACATTTACCTATTAAAAGATTTTCTGTGTTTTAGTACTTTAAAAATAAGTTTATACATATTTGACCAGAAAGGGAGGTGGTACGAAAGCTTCTGGTTGAGAAAATTCTTTCTCCCTATTCTTATCCTGATTATATTGATGGTTTACAATCCATAGAATTGGTATTATTCTGTTTTCCTAGTTTTATAGACTAACCCTTTTGTGATTGTACCTGCCTTGAGATCCCTATCAAGTTAGATGTTAATATGCTAATTACTAGGTAAGAAAGAAGTTTAGCAATTTAATAGAATATCCCCCCCTTTCTGACAGTCATTTGACATCACATTTTTAGATCTCCTTTTGATTGTTCTTAAACTCAGTATTCTCTTTTTGAAACCTACAACAGAGGTGGAAACTTTAAGGGAGAAAGTTTGTTATAAATCATATAAACCGTTAAAATACACTAAGGAACCTGATACCATGTTTTAGTAAGTTGTCATCTACATGGGAAAGATGTACTGGGCTCCTCTAGGCTGCACTGCACCTCTTTTATATTAATGTCTCTCTTAGGGCACTCATTTTTGCATGTCTTACACTATGCTGATTATGTTGTTTTTAACACTTAATAGATAAGAACTTTAAGGATATGACCATATATCCAGATTCCCTATTGGTCCATAGCATGATGTTTGGCCCATTGAAGAGAATGCGTAAATCTGTGTTTTCATTAAAATGACTGTGCTCTTTCTTATGGTTATAGTTTCACATTTCCCAGAGTTGGGTGAGCTGGGATAACAGAAAAGGGAGAGGTGAGATACAATGTTAAATTCACATTCTAATAAAGGTATTTTCAATGAAGTCTTATGGAACAGGGTTATTTCAACATATTAGCGCAAAGTAAGTCCTCCTGACATACTAAAAAAAAAAAAAAAACTTGAAAATGACTTTGAAAGGGCTTAAGAGTTTCTTAGATTTGTTTTACCGAGTTATAAGGTTTATGTTTTTTATGTAAAGAAATGCTTCTGTCATAAAATACATTTGGAAAATCCTAGGTTACAGGAAGATAACAGGTTTCTTTTATCAAAGTTTTTAATATATGCCAGTGTGCATTTTAAAGATTTTGATATGGTACTTGCTTTCTATTGAATGCTTTGTGTTTTTTTTTTTTTTTGGAGAAGCTTTTGAAATCAGTGTTCTCAGGAAGAGTGCCATTCTAGACTAACCTTTAACAGGAAGGGAGCTGAGGACCCAGGAGATTGTTTATGGCACAGGTGACTGAGCTGGTTAGCTATATCCAAGCACTGAGACTAATAATTGCCATCTTTATCTTGTTCCAGGGGAAATTACTTTACATTGAAATCATCTAACTGAACTCACTGCACAGTAATACTGAAAAATAGAGAGGAGAACTGACTTGTGCTAATCCCTAGCTATAATACAGTGGCAGTTTTCTATTAAATCCTTTATTGTTTTCTTCATCAAGCCTAGCAAACCTTTTCTTCTCACCCAGGTAGAAGCTTACTCAAAAAAGCTGAGGTCTTAGAAGAACGAAAAGATTTGAGTGCTAAGGTGTATGACATTTTATTATCATTATTATTTTTTACTTGATTAAAAACACTTCCTTTGACTATCTAATGCATTATAAAGAAAGGGCATAACTCTTGTTTCTCTCCTGATTCTCCACACTGGGAGAGTGGTATTACTGTGTATTCATTGGGACTAAACTCAGTAGCAGGAAAGCAATTATAAGGCCCCTGGAGTGTAGTTTAATAATTTCTGCTGGCAGTTGGGCGTGATAATTTTCCTTTATATTTTTCTTTCCTCAGTATAGCAGGAGAATTTTTTTGTTTACTGTAAGGCAAACCAATTAGGAAAATGTAGTGTTAGTGCTTAGTATGACAACTCAGAGAATTGTTTGCATTTCTTTCTACTTCTGCAGTATAGGGATTTGGGAAATTCTACTATAACAAATATTAGTTTTAGGGGAACAAGCTATCTCTCCCACCCTTATCTCTCTTCCTAACTGATTGATATATTACTTTGTAAAACATCAGAGGTAATGAATCTAGCACAGGGCACCTGGTAAACACTCACAGACTTATTAAAACGATGCATTAAGGAGTCAAAGACATTTGACTTTAAGATTGAATAATTTAAACTTTTCATAGTATTGATAAAGAATTGAACCAAAGAAATTTATATTAATAGTTACTTTTTTTTCCCAAAGTCTCTTTAAAACATCTCTGGCCTGAACTGGAAGGGAAAAGAGAATTTTTTTTTCCCAAAGTCTCTTTAAAACATCTCTGGCCTGAACTGGAAAGGAAAAGAGAATCGTCTTAACTTTTGGATTTAGGGGATAAGTTTTTCATCAAAGTAGTAAAATTCAGAGTTCTACATATGAAAAGTATACTCGCATTAAGTAGGATTGTATCCTTTACCTCTTTTTCGTCTTAACTTTTGGATTTAGGGGATAAGTTTTTCATCAAAGTAGTAAAATTCAGAGTTCTGCATATGAAAAGTATACTCGCATTAAGTAGGATTGTATCCTTTACCTCTTTCTGAGTTGCAACATTTTGTGAGTGCCCACTCAGATGTCCAAAGCTTTAATGCATGGGCTTTTACATAGATTATTTATTAAAAAAATATACATATCAAGTATATATGAGAGTACGTCAAAGAGTTCATTGAAAAAATGGAATTGAAAGATAATATGAATCTTTCCATGAACTTTTTGAGGAAGCAGTGTGTTAATAGTATATTTTATGTTTGAATTTAAGCATTTATTTAACATAAAGTCAGATTTGTAAGGCTGTTCTGATAAAGAGTAAAAAAAAGTTAAGGGTGTGGATAATTATTGCTTATTTACCTGGCTTCAGCATCCAACTTGTTTCTGCACATATGTGAAAAAAATTCTGATTTATTCAGATGAATTTTTTTTTTTAAGTTACCTGGCAGTCTAAGTGTATTCTTCATTTGGACTTATTCAGAAAATTTCAAAAGGAAGAGTAATAATTCTTGCTTCAAATTTACATCATTAACATCTAAATACTTCTTGTATTCCTTATTATAAATGTAAAGAAGTAAGTACCTTAAATTACATTTAATTGTTATTACCATTTGCATCAGTAAGTATTGTTGCCATATTTGTATGAGCCTTTAAGAATCTGATGAGAGCTATGGACCTTCTCTCCAGAAAGGTATACATGAGCATAAAAGTTTATATGTTACTTTATGGGCTTTCATAGAAATAATCTTCAGATTCTGAACACTGTCACTCTATAGCTCAAAACCTTTAGTAACTCTTCGTGTCCTACAAAATACACTTCAGAAGATTGTTTATAAGGACTGCTTATGATCCCAGTCTTAGACTGTTTTTCTAGCCTCACCTTTCTCTACAACAGCCCACACCCTGTGTTCTAATTGGGCTGTTGGCTGTTCTGTAGATTGATGTCCATTAAAACATTCATAACTTTGCTTATGTTCTCTCTTTCTACTTTGCTTATTGGAATTCAGTTCTTTGTTCAAAGCCTAACAAGATGCAAAGTCTCACACTAATTTCTTTGAGCAGAAATAATATTCCCTCTTTTGTACTCCCATAGACATTTCAACCCTTTCTTGAGGCATTTATAATTTATTTTTATTTATTTATTTATTTTTAGTTATTTATGTACGCCTTTGTTTTCATAAAGGGATAGTAATCTTTTGGGGAATAGGGTTGAAATGTTATTCATCAAACTTGCTCTTATCCCCAGGCACTGGCTGCATTTTGCTGGGGGATGAGACAGGTGGGAGATAGGAGGAAGATTGTTTTCTCTTTTTCACTTAAGACAGTCAGAATCACCTGAAGAATTATTTCTTAAAGTTCTAAAATTAAATTATAAGTATAATTTATAAAGTTTTACAGGTTACTGCATCCTACCCCACCCAGACTTATTGAATCATCAGCTTGGAAAAAGGTCCCACAAATTATGTAGAATCATCAGCTTGGAAAAAGGTCCCACAAATTATGTATTTTAAAAATTCTGTTGTGTAACCAGCTCTAGGAAGTACTAGGTTTGAATGTCTTTAGATTGAGTTAGATTTAAATTTCAATTAATTTTAAAAATTCTGTTGTGTAACCAGCTCTAGGAAGTACTAGGTTTGAATGTCTTTAGATTTAGATTTAAATTTCAATTATTTAAATTTCAATTTAAAAAAAAAAAAGGCCTGTCTCACTCATCTAGATCATGTGCCAGTCCATGGAGTGATCATCTGTGGCATTTGGATAGCATGAGATTAATGCCAGAACATCTGGAAAGCCATGGACAGAGCCTATAAAAGCTTGGCAGTGGAAGGTTGAACTCCACTGTATGGAGTTTGTTCATTCTCTGGTAATATTTATTTCCATTCCCTCTTGTATTTGTAGGATATAGCTCGCCTTTTGCAAGAAAAGGAATTACAGGAAGAGAAAAAGCGAAAGAAACACATTCCAGAGTTCTCTGGAGCCAATGTTTATGGAGATAGTTACTATTATGAAGATGGAGGTAACAATGTCTACATCATGACCTACTCTGTCCTTAGACTCAACTGCATGACACTCCTTTAATTTTGTCTATAAACTGACCTTAGGGACCTGGGAACATTTCTCTTATCCCTAGGCACTGGGTGCATTTTGATTTGTGGGAGGATTCTGTTTGAATATAATAAATTAATCTGTTCTTTAATTGGACAGCCAGACCCATTTTTTTATGGCTGTTAAAAACTTGAATATGGTTTTGTAAGACTTGGCATGCATTCTTTTGTGTTGTAACCACTAGGAATGCTGTATTACATTCAAAACACATAAACTGGCATGTGGAAAGTGGCGGATGAGTCTCTAGACTTAACCTTTCTCAAGGAAGTCTGTGCAATATTGTTTGAAGGAGCAAAGTAGTATTAATAAAGAAGGTGCACCATGTATCAGCTACTGGATAACAAAGCTTTTTTTTCATGCTTTCTTGTCTTTTAAACCTAGGCCAATGGTTTAGCCTGCTGATTACAAACAATATTATGTTTTAAGATTCACCGTTCAGTTTTTTCTTTTGAGCTTTCTTTGCTATTTGATTACCATATTGAATAATTTCTGAGGGAGAGAAGTCCCTTCAGAGTTTCGCTTTTCTAATGCCTGCTTTTACAATGTGGTGATGGTGTGATGGTGGCAGTCATGGTGGTGGTGATTCTTTATCTTAAAAGTGTGTTGGGAAATGATATTTGCAAGTATTGTTCAGTCCTTTTCAAAGATCTGTCAAAGGAAGGGCATTTCCTATAGTTTCAAGTGTCGGTATTTATTGAAGTTCAGCTTGGTAACGATACTTACAATAACAAGTGAACAAAACCAGAAGGCAAGTTCTAGAGAGTAAAGATTTTAGGTCAGTGATCCCAAAGGGCCTTGCAAACCAATTATTAAATGCTTTTGTATAATTCTACTATAGAAGGTAAGTATGTGTTTGTCTTTGATGAGTAGAATGAAAGGGATGCATATGTAGATGGCAGATTATTATAATTTGAGTGTAATCTTGCCCAGTCACATTTTTTGCTCTACATTTACTGTGTCAGTAGAGCTCAGCTCTATGGCCTATTTAGTAAACAGGTTGATTCTCTATTGCTTGATGTGTCCTTCCTCTGTATGTAAGTTGCTCAGCGCTTTCTTGATAGCCATTTTCCTTATGCTGGGTTTTCTGATGAAATTACATATTACATCATATAAAAAGAAAAATTATTGCCATATTGTGCTATACTGGAGACCAGAAGATAAAGAGTTACTCTTCAGCTCCAATTAAAATCTTAGAAATGTGTCTGGTGGTTTTTTTAAATTTTTATTTTTAGTTTTGCTCTGGAGGCATGTTCACTGTAAATAAAATTAACTCTTCTAAACTTAAGTCTGTAAAAACATTAGGATGGCAAGTAGTTAAGTTTACTACTAAAGTATTAATTTTACTTTCCTTTATTAAAGCCTTATACTAACTTGATTTGGGACTCAAACTTTCTTTTGACCAGTGTCTGTCATCCTGATTCATATCTCTAGAGCAGGAGACTGTCAAGAATTCAGTGGGTTTTCAGGGACACCTAAAAATTTTTTTGCCTTATACTAACTTGATTTGGGACTCAAACTTTCTTTTGACCAGTGTCTGTCATCCTGATTTATATCTCTAGAGCAGGAGACTGTCAAGAATTCAGTGGGTTTTCAGGGACACCTAAAAATTTTTTTAAAAAAAAGTCTATCCTATATTTATTTGAACTACTTTTGTAAGTTTGTAGGGAGTGGTGTATAGGCTTGTTTTATGGGGGGCTGGGGGTATTTGAAGGAGTGTTGAGGAATAGGAAATGGCAACCTCCTGAGTAGGTTTGTGTAAATATTGGAATTTATCTTGCCTCAGCTGTGTTGTTATTGGGAGATTATACATTGCTAAACATGTGATCCTCATTTATATGCCTTTCAGTTAGAACAAGCTGAGTTCCACAGAAACCATGTTACAATTCAGCTCATATTTACAAAGCAATCCTATGTTCTTTGCAGTGGTCCTTTCTCAACACATGTGGGATAGTCTTTCATTGTACTACTCTATCTTAAAGTATAATTTGATTTTTGCCTTTCTTACATAATAATCACAGTATATTATTATAGAAATGGTCATCTTTTCTGCTTTTATTTTACTTAAATGTTAATAAATTGATCTCTTTAAAATGATCATTTGTAGATTTTCTACAAATTTGAAATTATGCAAAACATTTCTTAAATTTATATCAACTGTGAAATGGTGTATATTATTTATTTGTGAGTCCATGTTTTCCTTTCAAAGCCACTTACCTGTTATTCCGATATATTAGTGATTTATTTTTTTTAATCATAGTTTTTGGAGTCATAAAACCATGGTTCAAGTTCTATTCCATCCTTAGAAGAATTGTAATTTTAACGAAGTTATCTACTATAATTACTCTAAGGCTTTTATTCTCATCTGTAAAATGGAGATTTTAAAAATATGTCCTTCACATGGATGTTGAGAAGATCAAAAATGTAATTTTGGTGAAAGACTTATAAACTCTAAAGTACCTATTATTTGTACATATATATCAATGTTATGTGCATATGATATAGTATTTTGTATATCTAAATAAAAATCCTATTTTGAAAGACAAACATGGAGGCACACATAGAAAATAAATATATCTATATGTATGTGTGTATATGTGTATATATATGTACGATGGTACTTCAAAAAGTTTATGGAAAGGTTTGTATTATTTTTTAATTCTCTTTTTCCACAAACTTTTCTAAGTACCTTAGCATATGTATTAGCAATGAGGGTTTGCCAAATAACTTAGTCTCAAGAAACGTACAACTCTCAATCCTCAACTAGGAGGGGTTTTAAGAGATTGAAATAGATTCCCCAACCTTGTCTTTTTCCCCCTCATATTTAAAGATATGACAACAAGTTAACTAGAGAATATTCTTTTTCCAGTCAACTTTGTGAAAATGTATTGACAGCTCTGTAATAATTCTTACAACACATTCCTCTGAAGTAAACTTACTAATATCAGTTAACTGTTAAGAAGGAATTAAAAAAAAAAAATCATAGCCTCATAAATCCATGTCAAAAACAAAACCCTTCTTGTTTCTTTTGAGCTTAAAGGTGGATTCTTTCATGCAACTCTCTGTGGATACGTTGGTATTAATGCTGTAAACCACTGTTCCCTGGATGTGGTCATGATTTAAGTAGCTAGTTAGTGTTATATTAATTCACAACAGTATCACATTGAACTGTAATAGAGAGCTGTTCTCTGAAGTGGCTGGGAATGTTTACTTTGGCCACATAAGGACGAGGATAGAGGAATACCAAAATCTGCTGAAGCAGAAACTAACAACATTCTGATACAGCTTTATTGTCATTTCCAGTAAGAATATGTGAAAGCCTCTGACTGAAATTACAAGGCTTAATTTTTTTCTGTTTTACAAGTCTCCCCAGCCCCTACTTTTCCCTATACTAGTTCCTAATTAGTTTCATAAGTAGAATTTTATGTTTAGTGGCTATAATTTTTGTTATTGGCAAATATTAAAGTCCTCTGTTAACTCTGTCTAATCATGATCAAATTCTTTCAGATTTGAGTAATTTCACTTAATTTGAGTTTTTCACCATTTTGGTTGTGTACCCAGAATCCTTCGTGTATGCATGGACCATGTCAGTAAATGCTCATCCCATCTTCTCAAGCTGTTAAGTTGAAAAAGCTGTTTTGTCCATTTTTAAAGTATGATAAATTGGGCCCCGACTCTCCCTGGTGTAATGAGTTCATACTCTCATTAAGTTAACCTGCATTTTTATTTTTCGCATCCCTCTACCTCCACTCAGACCAGCCAAGGTCAAGGAGGGCCAGGGAATTGGGTTCTGGATTCTCAAGGTCTTGTAGACTCCAAAGTGATGGAAGGACTGTGAAGCAGAGGAAGGAGAAACCAAAATATCCACTGGAGAACTTGGAAGAACTAGAAGAGCATTGTTTATCAAAGAGATCCCTGTCATCCTCTAGCTGGAGCAAAGTGAGGGATGATCCCCAAATTAACAGTGAGCAGCAAGAAAGGAAACGGTCTGGTCAGCAGAGGCTCCAGAGATCTCCGCTACCCAAGATCAGTGGAGAAGTATTTCTGAGCACTGAAGTTGATGACTGGGAGGCTAGCGGTAGCTATCGAACTCAGAATTTGGAAAAACAGTCCCGACACCAAGACCAACTTTCACCCAAGACTGCACAGAAAGCAAGGCTTCACTGCAAGGAAGCTGTGTATGGGAGGGACCGTGGGCAAGGTGAGCACAGAGAAAAGAGACACAGGCCAAGGACTCCTCCCTTCTCAGAGTGTGAGGAGCAGCTCCACCTCCATGACACAGGTAATGAAGGACAGCCCTGGATGTTCTGGTATCATGTATATTCATACAAACCAGTGTATTTAATAAGCATCTTAAGCAACCTTATTTCCTCTTCACTTTGCTCATGGCTTTGAAATAAATCCTGTAGCTAAATATTCTAAAAGGCATTTACTTAATCTCAGGTCTTTAGAAAGAAGGAAAATATTTGTACCTTTGGCCTTCTGTGAGAATACACTGATTCCTTCAAAGGTTCTTCCAGGCCCAGGTCACAGTGAAAGTGCTCATCCAAGATACAGTTCTCCATTTGCCAAGACTGTACATCAGAGATTCTGATATCAAATCAAAGCTCCTGAATTTCTGGTTTGATTTCTGGGTTCCCAGAAGATCTGGTGATACTGCCTTAATAATATGTGCGTAACTAAAAGGCCAGTAGAGCTAGAAGTATTAGATTTTCTAGACCTCATCTTTTTCATTTGTGAAATGAAGGGTTGGATAGGCAATCTTTTAAGACTGTTTTTCAAATTATGGGCCTCAGTCCATTTTTGTCAGAATCAGCTGGGCTTTTTCCTAAGAATGAAGGGTCTCACATATATTGTCATCTCTGGAGTAGAGCTTGGGCATGTTTTAGACCGGGAGGTGATATTGATAAACTTAAAGTTTAAAAATTATTACCTTAAATTACTTTTTATGCTTAAGGTTTCTCCAACTCTAATTCTGCAGTTAGTGTTCTAAAGTGCCAATATAGGTAAGTTCTTGGTATCTGTATGGGAATGAAGTGAATATTAGAGGTAAGCCTCAAATTTCTCGCATCCCTGAGGCTTATCTCTGAAGTCCATCATTGACACAGTAATGGTTATTGCTGTTGTTTGGAATCTGCCGAGGTGATATTCTACATGTGGCTATAACAGTAGAAGTCTTAGCACCACACAATCTAGTAATGTGATAGACTATACTCATCTTCCTGCTTCCATTTTTCTCTTACTGAAGTATTAGAGAGATGGAATGGTTACTGGGTAAGGAGTACCAAGAACGCTCCTGTTCTTATTTTCTTCTCTACTTGTAGTCGGGAAACTGGTTTGTAGGTTGCAGATTCAGGTTGATTCTGCTGGTTTTTCTTATCATTTTATCTTTTATTAAAGGACTTGATTATAAAGAAAATTAAAATTAAGTTCAGCAAGCCATACTGAGTATTTACCACAAATATTCTTGCCTTGGGTGCTTTGTGCTTGGATCTGAGCCTCAGAGGGTTAATAATCAAGCCAAAAATATGTATATGAAAACAAACAATTCCAAATTAGATATACTTTGTTAGGAAGACATGAACAAAGAGTTGTGGGGGAAGAGGGGAGAGAATAATATAATTTATTTGAAATAGGTTATGAGGAAGTTATACTTTATCTGGGTTTAGAAAGACATGTTGGAGTTCCAAAGGTGTGGGTGAGGAATGGTGATTACGCTGACTTCTCCATTTCTCATTCTGTGAATCTGACCTTATAAGTGTGCTATGAGGGCTCGTTAGCCTTTAATGGCTTTTAGTTATGCTCCAGGGTGTTTTAAACAGGCTCAGGAAGCATGAAATTAAACACTGACTCACACGCTCTACTACTGAAGTTGTAGGCAAATGTTTTGTTTATTTTGCTAGCACAAGGGGTTAAAGAACAGTGTGGTTAGGCAAGCATTAAAAAGGCTACAATGTGAACTGCTTAGTGTCTATCTTCTTATATTCAGTTTGCCTTATAAATTTTATCTTCAGGTTAACTTCTTACCTCTCAGGGCCATAAAATATCTGTGTTTTTCTGCCGTGAATTGTTAGTCAAAAATACTGTAACATTTCCTAAGTGTCAGCCTGGCTTATTATAAAACACTCTTGCATGATATACAAAAAATTATTAGTCATCATTTTATCCTATTCCGAATTTAGAACTAATTTATCTTGAATACCAGTACTTTCGACAATTTTATTCTACCAGAATTTATTCAAGGGGGAAGCGTTATTTGCGTTCTTGTGTTCTTAGGGAGGTTCTTGTGTTCTCAAAGTGGAGGGTAGTGAACAGCAGAAAACAAGGAAGAATTAGATTAAAAAATATACGAAACTGTTGAAAATGTGACTCACCTGATTGTTTGAAAGCTGGTTTCCAGATTCTGTTTAGGCTACCAAGATGAGGGCAGCTATTCCATTAATCTTCTTCAGTTTAACTGTGCTTAAAAAAAAAAATCATCTGTTTTCTGTAATGACAACCTTACTCTGCACTATCTGTGTTTCCTTCTTATACATACTTACAAAAATTCTTCTCACCTTGGGCATAGAGACTCTACAGCAAGTGAGCAGTCCTGCCAGTCCAGAAATCTGGTAACCCAGGCTGTGGGGATTTTCCACTTAATGAGACTTGCAAATTCTAATGATACATCAAGGGTTTAAATAAACTATTTTACCTCTGAATATTTGGGACTCAGAAAGATATTTCCTCAAATTCTGACTGTTATTAATGAAGTTGTCACTTTCTTTTTAATTGCCGGAGGTTACAGTCTTAACTGTTCTGTCAAACACCAAAAGAATGTTCATTTGGATATATCTTTTATAGAACTTAAGCAAAATATTTTCTCAGTTAATTCTGTGGTGTAAAGTAGGAGGTATAATAGTGGAGAGAGTTTGGTGTCTTGATACCTGAACACATCCACTCTATCATTTCTCTGAATGGCAAAATTGAAGGAGCTAGGTATAGTCTGTCATACTCAACTAGGCTTTGCGCTGCTCGTTGAAGTAGCATTTTTCTATGTATTGAAATATGGTATAGCAGCCTATTTTGTTCACTTACCTAACACAATACTAACTTACCAGTCTAATTTTATTTATTTTCTCTGAAATCTGCCTTTTTAGTTATGACCAAGTTAATCATAACTCAGGGAGGTTTATATTCCATTTACATATGGTCCACTCTTGCTGCTGTTTTCTTGTTTTCTCAAACCACTCAGAAATCTAGGTTGAAACCAACACAGCCCAGTGTAAGATTCATTAACTCTAGAGTTGACTTGATGTGGTCTGTGTAATCAGGTACAAATAGGCCTGCAGCTAAGAAAGCCAGGTTTTCTGGACTTTATTTGGAGGAAAGACATGGGTCTTTGGGGAAAGATATATGGGTCTTTTGCTTTTGAGTTTACCACAAAGCGAGAGGTGGAAAGGTCTGCAAAGATATGTTTCACAAGATAACTTAGATTCTCTTTATTTGTCCAAGATTTCTTTCCTTTCTTTTTTTTTTTTTGTTAATAACCAGTGAATCAAGTGTGGTGAGGCATTTTGATAAAAATCACTTTAAAGTTCTCTTATTTTGATGGACATAATATGAGTACACTAAAGTAGTAATTCCAATGCTAATTGCCAATAAGAATCAAATGGGAAGACTTAAAACAAAGCTACCCAAGGTCAGGGCTCATCTAGGCTACTTAAATTAGAATCTCTGGCCGTTGGGACAGATCTGTTTATTTACAGCTACTCCCAAGTGATTCTACTATATAGCCATGGTTGACAGCCATTGGTATAAGGAGACAGGCAGTCAGGAGTACATTTTCTTTCTTCCCTGAGTAGTCATTGGCTGAAAGTCACCATTCTAGATGACTTGTTCACTGTACTTGACATTTTTATTATTTCTGAATATAATACAATCACACCATTGAGTAATTACAATTTGTAAGAGGGCGTAAAAGGGAAATACCCACAATTTTGAAATAATCATTAGCATTTGCCACTTACCTACAAGTTATAGAAAGAATATGTGCTATTTATAACATTTCAAAGTAAAAAAGCCAGAATTGCCCACCAGTCCCTCTTATTTCTTTCTCCCCAGAGGAATAGAATTCTAGGGTCATGTGCTCCCTGACATTTCCCTTATGTTATATCTTACCTGAAAGTTACCAACGACACCAAACTGATCAAAGCTATGGGAAAAATCTAAAGCAGATGGGTTTGTTTATTGTCAGAGCAGAAGCCATGGCACGGCCACTGGTTAGCTAACAGGTATTATCACATGATTCCCAGATGATGCTATTTCTGTTCCCTCTGGAATAAGGTTTGCAGGCTGAGGTAAATAGAAGGAAGCCTCTTATCTCCTCCAGTCTTGACTGCTTAACCTTTTTAACTCTTTTTAACTCTTTTGACTCTGTAACTTTATTTTCTCTAAATGTTTTTTTATTTTCAGTGACTTTTTTTTCTTCCCTTTTGGTTTTGTGAAGGCCCCACTTGTAGTTCCTTACATGATTTTGTGCTGTTGAAGAAACTATGTGAGAGGGAAGTTTTTACCAGGCAGGTTTGGGTGGGTAACTTTGAATGTACGGATTGTTTGCATCTCCACTTCCATGCCTAGGGGAAAAAATATTTACAATGTGCCTCACAGTCAATTTTGGAGGCAAAATTGTCAGTTAGCAGGTTTGGGTGGGTAACTTTGAATGTACGGATTGTTTGCATCTCCACTTCCATGCCTAGGGAAAAAAATATTTACAATGTGCCTCACAGTCAATTTTGGAGGCAAAATTGTCAGTTAGATGTGAAAAAGAAACTTCTTTATCTAAGATTTTGCAACTTTTCAGAAAACAACCTCAGTTGCCTTATTACATTGAGTGTTTTTCTAGGAATGAAGCCAAGAGTGATGAAAGAAGGTGTCTCTACTCCATCACGAGTGACTCACAGGGATCAAGAATGGTATGATGCTGAAATTGCCAGAAAATTGCAAGAAGAAGAACTTTTGGTGAGCACATTATAAGGCAAAAGTTCAGGTGAATCACTAGGTTTTTGTGAGTTAAATCAATCATGAGATTTATGGCATTATAGTCCTCTGGGAAACTGATACCTTTTTTTATGAGTGAAAAAATCAAAACAATGGGAATAGAGTATCTAGTTTTACTTATTGAGTAAGCATTAGCAACAGAACTCTCTATCCCTATCTGTCCATTATTAAGTTCTGATAATTCTCTAAGAGCCTGCTATATAATTTGATTAAAATAGCCTCTGCTCTAGCTGGTGAAAGTATACCAACCGGTTATCAACTTCAGGGATATTAATCACAGCTAGTTTTAAATTCCCTTTTGTATAGACTTTTTAAATGGACAGCATGGATTTCAATTATTATTATTTTTTATTTTATATTTTATATACCACAGGCTACCCAGGTGGACATAAGAGCAGCTCAAGTAGCCCAAGATGAAGTAAGTTCATGTTAGTTATTGAGTCTAACTGATAGTTCTGGAAATATCCCACTAATTTTCTACTGACAACTCTGTAGTTAGTGATATTGACTGCATTTTGTTTAGGAAATTGCTCGACTTCTGATGGCTGAAGAAAAGAAAGCTTACAAGAAAGCCAAGGAGCGAGAGAAATCATCTTTGGATAAAAGAAAACATGACCCTGAGTGGAAGGTAGGGTGTATTATTTGTTTATTTTTTAATTAGAAATAAAGTTAGAAATGAAAAGGGGACTCTGTTTTTTTGTTTTGTTTTTTTTTCCTTTTTGTCTTTTTTCGTGTCCGGCAACGGACCGCAACCCTCAGTGTCGCGCCCGTACCAGACCGGGACCGGCAACGGGATCGCAACCCTCGGCGCTGCGCCCGCCCCTCGCTCAGCCAGTGAGCAGGAACCGGTCTGTATGTGGGATCTGAACCCTCGGCGGGAGCGCCGCCGTGCTCCCAAGCGGCGCACTGTAGCAGTGCGCCACCGGGCCGGCCCAAGGGGACTCTGTTTTTAAGGTAAGCTCTGCACATGTATTCAGGATATACAAATTATCTGTATTGCATATGTGAATCCCATTTGTAAGAGTTGTTTCGCTATGAAAAATTATTGAATTCTTGAAAGTAACCACGCAAAAAGTTACTGCTAATATTGAAGACCAACTGAGATGGAAGTGCTTCTGGTCATGAATAATCTTAGTTTTCATTTTACTTACATTGCAGGAGAATGGAGCATTTTCATATGCTTTCATATTTTTCATAGTGACCTTCTCTTCCTCTCTCTACTTTTTCTAAGTGCTTACATTATCCTTCATCCCTATCAGGTACTTGTTGCTCTTTCCTCTGACATAACTTGGTCTATGGCAAACAGATGTTTGCTTATCACCAGCAATCAGTTTATGTCACAGTGCAAAAACTATCTAGTATGAGCTTGGATTGTTATCTTTCCCCTCATTAATCAGAAATAATTGACAAAATGGGCAGTGACTTCAGTTCATCCTACTCTAAAGTAATCTGATTGTTGTACTAGGGTACTTGCTTATCACCAGCAATCAGTTTATGTCACAGTGCAAAAACTATCTAGTATGAGCTTGGATTATTATCTTTCCCCTCATTAATCAGAAATAATTGACAAAATGGGCAGTGACTTCAGTTCATCCTACTGTAAAGTAATCTGATTGTTGTACTAGGGTACTTCCAAAAGTTCATGGGAAAATAAAATTAAAAGATAATATGAATCTTTCAATGAACTTTTTGAAGGACTCTCATATCATGGTTACAAGTTCAATTTAACTAATCAGTGACTTCATTCAAGGCATCACTCTGGACCTACATGGAAAGACAAAGATATCTTTTCCTTATAATAGCGTATAATGTAGAGAGAGGAAGACAGACTGTAGACCACTAACAAATACAGGGTCAAGCTGGGTGGAAGAAGAGCAGAGGAAGAGGGAGAGAATTCATACAGTAAAGGCTTTTCAGAGAGCAAGTTTGCACTAGGCTCAAAAGGGTGGAACCTAGGATGTGTATCCATAGTACAGTTAATGATTAGTAAGTATCTTTCTTTCTCTAACAAATTCCTCCCTTGGGTCTCCGGGCCTGTCTCAGTCTCTGCAATTTTTGTGAGGAAAAAGAAGACATAGAAATCATGCTAATGGTATTTCTCTGTTATTTCCTGTTCCTCAGTTACCTAGGTGTCAGTCTAAAAAGTTCGAATATTATTTCCATGTTAATTATATATATATACAGTATACTTATACTACTTATCCTCTTAGTAATTTAGGATTTTTTTTCCTAACGTATTTCATTTTAGTCAGTGATTCTCTAATGCTTCTGCTATATAAATTAAGGCAAAAATAATTGCCCAGGAGTTGCTCAGATTTTTTATTAATTTAACTAGGAAAGCGTAGGTATTTTAAAGATTATAAATCAGGAGAATCAGAGAGCAATGGCCACATTTCTTGCAAGTATCATGACTTTGGTGATTTTCTGATTCCATAACTAGTATTGGTACGGTTCCTTTTTTAGAAAAGTTGACTTGAATGTACCTTAGTTTCCTGGCTGGAAAAATCATCAGCCATGAATCAGGTATACAGAAACAAGTTTGAGAGCACAACCTAGATTCCGTAGACCCTGGGTGTCCACCAGTTCTTGTCAGTTGCTGTGCAGCTGTTAACGTTAGTAATAATTGGCCAAGCACACCTTTGTCAGGGAGGAGCATGTTTGTGTGTGTTTAGCCCACTTATCTGGCTGCACTGACAGCCTCCAGCATACATTGTACCTATGATTTTTTTTTTATCTCTGAACAACTGTATAAAAAAACCTTTTATGTTGCTCAACTTAGTAAAGTAACCTGGAATTACTAAAGGAAAGCCTAGCATGATATACATATTTTCTAAACCTAATCTTTCCCTTTTGTTTGATGTTTCTGATGTGTTTTCTTTTGTTTTTTCTCTTTTGTCCATAGCCCAAAACAGCTAAATCAGCACACTCAAAGTCAAAAGAGAGTGATGAACCTCACCGTTCTAAGAGTGACAGGCCAGCACGGTAAGGTGACACCTGAAAAGGAGAGTGAGAAAGTTGACTTTGGGGTGAGTAAGGAGATGTCAGTTTCCTGAGAAGAGTGTTTGTTCTTTGAAGAGGAGATCCAAAAATCTGCAATTTGTGAGGTGGTGTTAAGCCTTGAATGGTTATTCTCAAACTTTATTCGTAGTCTTAAATTGGGTTGTACATGTCAAATTAGGGGAACTTTCCACAAGCTAGGGTATATAAGGAGGGTTGTCCTTTTTCTTAGAATCAGTTCTTATCTCTGTATTCACTGAATTTATGTTCTTAGCTGGTGGGCATGAGATTAACCATTTTACTGAATAAAATCTCAGGTTTACATTTTTATTGGGTTTCCTGTTCACACTGGTGTGTGAATGAAAATTACACATGTTCAAACTCATTTCTGTCTTGAGTCTCAATTTCCTAGGCATTGACTTGCCTAGGCAGTGACTTGAATCATTGCAGGTTATCCAAATATCACTAGATCAAATAGCTGTGGCTATGGTATACACACTTTCTGACTTCTTTAAAGCAGTTTGGGTCATAGTTAGGTAGCAGCTGCTGTCTTTCCACCTCATTTGTCAGCATTTAAGTCTCTTTTTTTCTTGCTTTTTGTTGCCTTTCAAAAGAAAATATGATTGGAATATAAAGAGAAAACATTAAATACATAAAGACAAAAGTGACACTGAATCTAATATTTTCAAAACTCTGAATTATTATAAGCTTGAATTTTGGTCCTGATTATTAATATTTATTCTTAAAACATAATTTTATTTCACTAAAAAATATACACTGTTGTTGCCACTCATTGCCCACACTTAAGCTGCCAGACTTGTTTCTTTCATGTGAATATGTTTGGTGTCCTTTAAAAAAATCTCTATTTTTAAACTCATGCTTTCAAAAGATATACCCTTCAGAAAATGACATCAGGTTTATACTGCTCTGAGGACAATGGTAGTATAGTCTGTCTAGTTATATAAAATCTGTTCCTCTTGTAGCTTTTGGTGAAGCACATGCCAAACATTTTTTTAAGGCACATTTTAGTACTGTATAGCTTAGTACATCCCTACAGTATCCAAGTAAAATAAGAAGCAGCTAATCTATTCTCTAATACTCTACTACGTCTGGGTTATTATCCTTTTTTTAGTAAAATGGATTCATATCATCTAAGGATTATTTTGCAGTCTTCAAAGTCCTTGGCCTCCTTAGAACACTAATAACTTTGAAAGCAGATATGCTAAAACAGTCTGGGATGGCTATTTTAAAAGGTTTATTAAAGCTGAGCAAGTCTCTGCAATGTAATAGGTACTCTAAAAATATTTGGTATATTGAAAGAATGAATAGTTAAATGATTCTGTATCAAAAATGGCTATTATAAATTAGTGAAAAATGACTTTAGGCTGATAGAACTGAAATCTCTTTTGACCTGAGAGGAACACTTGTCTTTAAATATCATTTACAGCAAGTATGTATATATGTCGAAAGAAAAATGAATAAGATTTTTATGAATCCTATATTTTCATAGTTAAAAATTAAAGCCTGTTTATCTTGGATATATAGATATCTTGTACAAGTAATATCAGAACAAAGAAAAATGAATAAGATTTTTATGAATCCTATATTTTCATAGTTAAAAATTAAAGCCTGTGTATCTTGGATATATAGATATCTTGTACAAGTAATATCAGAAGGTTTGCTTTCTGGTTAGAGTCTGTGGTTTCTTCTTTCACATTTAATCATGGAAGAAAAGTTCAGTTAGCTATCTATACAGAAAGATGTGGTTTCAAGGACTGAGAAACATGGAGCTTCCTGGGTCAAGATGTTATTACTGCAGTGTAGTAATAGTAGTAGTAGAGGAGAAACAAAATCTCATGTAGAGCTTGTAACATTCATGGTCAAAAATCTAATTTCTTTGTCTATTACAATATTTTCTACTTTCTCTGAAGAAGTAGAGAACCAGTTAGCAATCTGAATTAATTCTAACTTTTTGTAATTGGAAAAAGTTTCAACCCAAGTTTCAATTTTTTTTAACTGTAGGATTGTATACTGCTTGGTATTTTACTTGCATTTTTTTCTTAGAAAAACTTGAAGATTTTATAAATTTTATTTAGTTCCTAGTGTATTCTTATGAATATGAAATAGCTATTTTCACTCATTCATTTATCGAATATTTTTGAACAGCCTAATAATTGCTCAGAACTAGGATAAGCAGCAGTCAACAAGAGTGAACTGTTTCATGCTCTCATGAAGTTTATAATCTAAACAAATAATTATACAAATAACTATCATGATTGTGTTAAGTGCAAAGGATGAAAAGTACAGGGTGTTATAAGAGCTTAACCTGCTTTGGGTGTCCAGGAAAGTTTCTTGTGGAAGTGATTTTTGAAGTGAGCTCTGAAGGGTATTTGGCTATATCACCAACTTAAAGATATAAATCATTTCATGAGAATAGTAGGAAACAGGTAATCCAAATACAACAAAAACTGTAAAACATACTATTGATTAGTAAGTTATTTCCAACTTTGGATATAAATACTCTTTGAAATAACTATCTCTAATGCAATAAAATAATTTGGTAGGACCCCTGGAAGCAATAAGTCAAGATTTGTTCTCTTTGTAACCAAAAACTTGAACAGAACACACCATGAGAACTGAAAGCATTCTAGATTGATTTGTTTATGCTTACATGGAGATCCTAGAGAATTTGCTGGCATCCTGTGCTGTGTTTCACACCTCTAGCATCCTTTTTCTTGATGATGAGTTGATGGTAAGGCAATAATTGTGGAGATTTTTTGTGTGTCCCCACTTGGCTTTGTCTTTCTGGTCTTTGATTGCCTAGCGAGGTTGGGTTAATGAAAGAGTAAATGGACTCTGCCACCCTCATTACCAACCCTGTTTCCTTAGGCCTGAGATTTCTCTTTAGCCACCTGTTTTGTGAAGCTATTACATTTCTTAATCCTGGAGTCAGAATATTTAATTTCAACTCTTCCTTACATGCACATATATGCATGTACACGCTGAAGTGTTACATACCTTTTTTTAAGGTAAGTGTTATAAATGTCAGTTAATGAAGGAAAAACACTATTCATTCAACTCTTCCTTACATGCACATATATGCATGTACACGCTGAAGTGTTACATACCTTTTTTTAAGGCAAGTGTTATAAATGTCAGTTAATGAAGGAAAAACACTATTCATTCAGTTTCTAATATTTGTGTACAAATGGCTCAAGGAAAAAAACAAAAGTGCCACATTACTAACTATGCTCACATTAATTATATGTGTATAACACATAGCATGAAAATATAAAAATATATGCATTTCTTATAAAATATTAAAATATCTTATATTTTCAAATGGTATTTAAAAGATACAGATACATATAGAAAGTACATATATGAAAATGTAGGGTACATATATATGAAAATATATATAGTCTTGCATGAAGCTGCTGCTGGTGCTAAACACATCTAGGTAGCAAAGCATAATATAGCGAAGAGCATTGGTTTTGAAGTCCAGTTGAGTTTGAGCCCTGGGTCTACCTCTTAACTGTGTAAACTCGGACAGATCACTTAACTTATCTAACACAATCTAACTCTAAAATATGTGTGGGATAGCTACCATGGAGATTTATCCTGAAAGTTATTGAGATAATCTATGTAGAACCCATAGCACAGTCCTCAATGTATATACAAGTTTACATCTTATGCTAACCTCTCCCAGATGCTGAATACCCAGGAGTGAATTACTGCTTGGGGACAGGGTGAGAAATTTGAAAATACTGGCATTCGTATATGACAGAGCCCATTATACAAACTTACTATAACTTTACAAACTTGAGAGTACTCATACCTTCTAGATTTTATATGTAATTACACAAAATGCCCTACAACATGGTTGTGTATTTGATAAATCTTAACCTCATCTGGTGCCATACTTTAATGAAAAATTCGGGTACACCTTTGGGAAACACCAACAAAAGAAAGAGTAGTTTTGTTCTTCATCTTCGTCTGTATTAAGTAATTAAAATATTGAAAAGTTTATTTTAGTAAAAATTTTGTAATTTAAAAAAATATTTTGTTTTCTTTGGCACAAAAAGTTGCAAATGTATTAAGATCTACTTTGCCACCTCGTGGATAAAAGAACTTCACTCGTGAAATTTTATGTTTATCAACGTTTCCTCCCTCTCTCCTTGCCTGTCTCCTACTCTTCCTCCTTCCTTTCTTTCCTTCCTTCCTTAACTTTATTACTTTCTTCTCTTCTGTTTTTCCCTTTCTTCCTCTTCCTTTTTCTTGGTAACGAAGTAAATTTCTTATTAATGGCAGCAATCATATTTCATTAATTTTTGTTTCTCTAGCACAGAGCCTCACACATATTAAATGTTGAGAAAATAATTGTTTTTATTGAGTTACGTGCATCAAAACAAAGGAATAGTAAGATAAAATGATTTATTTTAAGGTCATGCAACTGTCCAGGTACTAAAGTGAGAATTTAAAGCATAGTGTCTTTTTATTTCTATAGAAAATGTTTTTACCATTTAATCCAATGGGATGTGGAATTAAGGTCATGCAACTGTCCAGGTACTAAAGTGAGAATTTAAAGCATAGTGTCTTTTTATTTCTACAGAAAATGTTTTTACCATTTAATCCAATGGGATGTGGAATTATAGTAACCAATTTAGAATATCTCTTTAAATTCTGGCTTCTCTTCAGGCCACCACCACCTCCCGTAACTGATGCTGAGGATTTGGATCACCATCATTTTACAAACCAGCATAGTTCCACACGTCATTTCTCAAAATCAGAGTCTTCTCATAAAGGTGAGAACAAAATATATAGTTCAAGTTCAGGATCTTTTTTTTCAATAAGCCTCATGGTGTAAATTCAAATGCTGTCTTCTGATCACTAGAGTAGAAAAATAAGTTATCTTCCTCTCAGCAGATTGTTATAGTGTTCTTCATTTATGAAAACACAAACAAACAAAAATGACAAAAACCAGAAAACAAAACATCTTAAATTGAATGCAAGATTTTCTGTCTTTGTATTTGCACGGTTCTTAGCTTTCATCAGGTTCTTAAGGGTAATTGTGACCACCATGTACATCTGTTGGAGTACGTTTTCTGTACTGGCTCTTATTTCTCATCTGCTCATGACTCTATTAATTAGATTTAAAATATACATAAACACTCCCCACACAAAACTTTTATGCAGAAGAAAAATGGGACAAAGAAAATGAGAAAAGAATATGGATATCTAAATTGGACCACACCTTTAAAATGGAAAGAATAGTTGGGCATATTTGCCCTTTCGATGATATACATTTACTTATGTGTATTTCTTTCAGAGTTATAAAATGAAATAATGAAAAGGTAGGTTTTATATTAATTTCCTCATCTACAAAATGGAGGCAAACACGGGCTGGCTGGTTTTAGCTCAGTTGATTAGAGTGTGGTGCTGATGACACCAAGGTTCAGGGTTTGACCCCTATACCAGACAGCCACTAAAAAAGTAAAAAGATAAAAAGGAAGCAATCTAAATAGAAAGTGTCAGGGAGTTGTCATGATCATATAAGATAAAATATGTGAAAGAAGCCTGCGGAGTGTAATAGACTTTACAAATATTAGGTCTTATTAATTGATTAGTTTTTGAAAATTTCTCATATGTGAAAGAAGCCTGCGGAGTGTAATAGACTTTACAAATATTAGGTCTTATTAATTGATGGAGTTTAGTTTTTGAAAATTTCTTAGAGACATTTTTATTATCCTTTACCAAATCTAATGATAATATTCCCAAATTTCTTTAAATTACCTTTTCTGCTGTCATTAAATGAACACCATTGCACAGGTGACACTTCATACTAATTTAATCAGAATCTCTGGGTGTCAGACATTTGCATTTTTAAAAAGTATTCCCTCCCTGCATTATGACATTCATCCAATGTTGAAAATAAAACAAAAGACATTATTTAAAAGATGGGGTTAGTTGGACATTATAAATGTCTTTATCAAAACAACCTGCCCATCACAATTTCCATCAGTTGGTGGCATTTTTACCATCCCTAATTTAAGTGGAAGTAACTCATGGGTTTTTTTTTTTCCCCTCACAGTATGTATGCATCACTTTTTGGAGGGGAAAGGGTGCCTTACTATCCTTGACATGCATTTTATGCATAATATTGAAATAACACATTGATTCTGTATATAAATATTTTACAATCAAGAACAAAAAATGCAGGAACCACTTGAAATGCATAAAAAAGACTGAGAATGAAAAATGCTGGCGAGGATGCAGAGAAAGGAACCCTCCTACAGTGTTGGTAGGACTGTAAAATGGTGCAGCCTTTATGGAAAATGGTATGGGAGGTTCCTCAGACAATTACAGATAGCTTTACCATATGACCCAGCTATTCCACTGCTGGGTATATACCCAGAGGAGTGGAAATCATCATGTTGAAAAGATATCTGTACTCCCATGTTTATTGCTGTGCTATTTACAATAGCCAAGAGTTGGAAGCCCAAATGTCCATCATCAGATGAGTGGATAAGGAAAATGTGGCATATCTGCACAATGGAATACCACTTTGCTATTAAAAAATATATATATATATGCAATGCTACCATTCAGAGCAACATGGATGGACTTAGAGAAAGTTATATTAAGTGAAATAAGCCAGGCACATAAAGAGAAATACCACATGTTCTCACATATTTGTGGGAGCTAAAAATAAATAAATAAATAAATAAACAAACAAACATCAGGTGTGGAGGGGGGGGAAGAAAACACAATCAACAGTTCCTTGATCTTGTTAAGATAAGTGAACAGATATGATGTTGAAGGTTGGTGGGGAGGGAGGACAGAAAGGAGGAATAAGTAAAGGGACACGAAAATCAACTACATTGTATATTGATAAATTAAAATAAAATAAATAAAAAATAAATTATATTGCCTGGGAGAAAAACTGTCTTGAGTTTAAAATATTTTCTTTTAATTGTGTTTTCTTTCTTCCTCCCCTCCCCAGGTTTTCATTACAAGCAGTAAAATCCTAGAAATCTGCCTTGAAAATGGACTCACTATAGCAAATATTGCTGGATGATACAGAATTCATTCCAGACTGTTTTTATTCGTCCTACATGTGCATTCCTGAGATTTATCCTCAAGTGATTTTCTAACCATAAATAATTTTAATTCATTTCAAATGTTTTGGTTATTTCTGATCACTTGGGCAGTATAGGAAAATGTAGCTTCTGAATATTGGCCACCTCTCTGCTGTTTATACCTCCTGGGATATAGTATCCAAGAGCTCTGTAAAATGCCATTTTGTTAGCTATGGAATATTGGTATCTGGAGTGTAGGTTTTCTTTAGCAATTAGAATTTTATGGAGATGAATGATCAAAATAAAACATGTTTGGATGTGATGCAGAATAAAAGAATATAAGAAATAGCTTTTTTGGGTGCATTAGCATATAATATTTTGAAGGTCAGAGCCTTTGCTTTTTGTATTCTTCAGGAAAAGAAAAAAAAAATCACAACCATAAAGTAAACATTGGAGCATTTGAAATATTTGATTCTCACTATATGGATTGTAAAGATTTTGCATATCCTTATAAGCCTCTTAGGAAAATTGGCCTACATGTCATTCCTCAATATTTATTCTTCTGTGGCTTCCTCAATAGCAAGGCTCCTTGAAGCCCCTGGGCAATGAACCACTTATTAGTATTTCTTGGTGAAAATTTAATTCTCTGGAATTTTAGCTCAGGTCTTTTTCAAGGTCAGCTGAAAATGAAAATTGCATAAGTGATAATGCCATCTGTCTGGCTGTAGATTGAAGTTTTTCTCTTGTGTAAAAGACAGCATGCACACAAAAAAGACATAGCAGTATTTGTTGGCAACCTCAGCAGTGTTTTGTTTACATGTCAATAATTAGATAAATTCAACATGAAGTTAAATTTGATGAAGTGGTTCTTATCTAAGTATTTGGTTCTACATATTTTTAAATGGGCATTGTATTCCTTTGAACAAGACCTTTAAGCTCTTCTTCAAGAAATTTAGAGTCTTTGTCTAAATTTCTAACCTCATGAAAATGTGTATTTTCCCATGCTACCTAGTTAACATAAATGGCAATCAAGTTACAAGTATGTAATATATCTCCTCAGCTTGCTGTTATTTCTCATTGTATGAATCTGATATTTTTGATATTTTACTATGGTTTTTGTTTAGGAAAGAAACATATAGGTGACTAAAGAAGAAGTTGTTAATCTTTTTTTTTTTTTTTTCCTGCAGAGACCTGCCTTCTGTTTGCCTTATCTTTCCAGATAGACTTTAAAGTCTGGCAATATTCAAGAAGCTATTTAGAATAATTTTCTCAGAGTGGATGTGGATCTCTCATTTTGAGAAAGATCTTTAGTTTCATGAAGTTTTTGTATTGTAGGAAATTGAGTAAAAGATATCTAAGATGGAAATTTTGGACAAATGATAATCTAGAAAGAAACAAAACTTTAAGGGATATAGTCATTTTGGAGAAATGAAGGAAAGAGAAAATAAAAGGACTTTGAATAGCTGTGAGGAAATGAATAAAGAAAAAGCTTTGTTTATAGAGAAGGGTAGACAAAATGGAGGTCCTGGACTTAAGTCAAATTCCAGATAGTGGTATTAATATCCAAAATCTAGGCCTGTTGACATATAGTAATGCTATATTTTTCTTTATCTGCCCTGTGATTTTGCTTCATGTTTTTAAAAGTTTTTTTATGATAACTTTAAAGAAAAAACACAGTGTATTTTTGTTTGATAATTAGGCAAATGGGCAGCACCATTTGCTTTATTTTATTTTATAAATGTTTATTTTTCTATCTCATACAATGGTCAGTTTTACTTTAAAAATTCTGTATTTCTCTTGCCTGTCATGTACTTCATCCAATCATATTTATTATTATAAAATGTTAACTGAAGATACTTCATTCAAAGAAATGTCAGGCCACTTAACACATAAGTAGAATATATTAGTGTTTTATCTGTCTTAGTGACCAAAGATGGTATTTCCCTTGTGATATCCAATTCAACATCTATTTTGAAAATTTGTTACTTTTTTTTTAGGTTTTTAAAAGATTAGAATTTTAAGATATTTTATCTTTATTTTATTTTATTTTTTTGTAAAGCAGTTTTTTAAGAGTATCAGAGTAATTATTTCCCTATTAATAAGGAGATAGAAATCAGACTTAACCAGTTAAATCCTCTTATTTTCTCATTCAAATAATGTAATAATTATCTTTGAGACTATAGAAACAACTAACCACTGTGTTTTCATGAACTGCCAGACACTCTTCACTGTGTTCTCTGCTTTGTCATTTTTATGTAAATATGGAAATACTTATTTTGTTCTTGTTCCTGCTGCTGGAACACATGCAGTTTAATTTTTAGGCCCACAATGTATTATGCTTTAGTGTTGTGATGTAAACCAGTGCTCTGGCCCTGGAAAATCCTTCTGTTTCTGTATTGTTGTTCTCTGGAGGCCAGGCCCCATTACCACCAGTGCTGCTGAAAGAGCACAATATGTTATAGGGCCTTGTCATAAGAACCTCTCTCCCTCACCTAATTTTTTGTACATCATTGCCTGGAAGCAAGGTTAGATAAGGGTCAGATTAAATGGAAAAAAAAAATGACTCTGTTTGACTATAAAAATAGTTAAACCACTATTGATTATGTCAAAAGACTGTTAGACATGATTATTGTATTGGGGGACTAGACAGTTGCTTCACATGCTTTAAAAGAATATTGAGATTTTTAGAAAGTGACTGCATACCCTAAATTACTGTTTTTCAAGTGTCTTTACAACAACCAGCAGTATACTAATGAATTGCAAAGACAAAAAGATATGATTTTCTGATTATAAAGAAACACCTAAATTAAAAGAGAAAGATATGGATAGATGCTCCCGAGAGAAAAACCTTTTCTGAACAGCAGTGGGCACTTGGATCTAGGTCAACATACTCCCAAATATGTGTGACTTAGGCTTTGTGTTGCACTGAACTCACTCTAGGAAATTTTGTACCCAACTGGTTTCCCCCTTTTCTTTGCTATAGCATGAAGCTGAATTGGATGATAAGTAAACTCATTGTTGACAGTTATTTATGCTTTTCCCTCAAAGTCAGGACTTTTTAGTATACTTTTTAGTATAAAAATAATTAGCTTTTAGCTAATAATTACTTTTCTTTAATGCTATCAGATCTTCTCTAAATTCTCTCTTGTGCCAAATTGGAAATACCTGCTACAATATGGTGCATTCAGTTTACCAAATAAGTGGTTAACATTTTAAGGCCTCAGTTTTTAATGAGTGTTGCCTTTGTATAAAAATCACTTTGGGGACTACCAAGATGGTTCATTATTCAATGATGATTTTCTTGGAAAATAACTAAGATCTTCAGCCCAGTAAAAGAGTGAGACCCCTGTGTAAACAGCTTTCAAAGGGCTAAGAACAAAATAGAGCTTGCAGTCAAAGACTTGTTCCAATTTGGGAAAACAGTGTTCATGCAGGGAGTGTTAATGAAAGGGAACACTGTTCAGGTAGATTTTGCTATACATAGTGTGCCATATTCTGATGACATAGGCTTTTTTAGAAACAATCATAAAAAAAATCAAAACCTGATCTTTCAGCAAAAAGAAAGATTTTAAAAATACTTGATCCATTACTTGTTACTCATAAAGAAGTGACTGTAAAATGGTCCTATTTTCTCCTCATATCTGGTGGTGCCTGTGAGTCCTAAAGCCATATCTGTTTATCTTACTGATGATAGAATACTTTTTTCTTCTTAGCCTATGATAGGTAATATGGGCATGGAGAAGCAAACTGGAGACTGTCCTGTTAATGCCGCATGGGACACAATGTCATTCAAATTCTTGGTGGAAGAATCTCTTTATACGAGGTGATATGTAAGACTATTAAAGGGAAGAGTCAGAGGCTGTTGCTGCTCTTGGCATTTAACAACTGTCATTAGAAATGCTGAAATTTAAGGTGTAAACTGGGAAAATCTCATTATTACAGAGTCACCTTTACTGTGAGACCTGCACTTTATACCAGCAATGTCTGTGAGGAGCAGTATTGCCTTAAATTAGTTTGACTCCACCTGAGGTCAACGTACTTCCTATGTGTGAATGGCAGTCAATTCTCCGTTGAGATATAAAATTCACAGATGATTCCCAAGCATCCCTGTCATCGGAGCTTTGGACCTCTTCTCCCACTGAACTGTGGCTGACCGGTGTCACTGATGTTTCAAGTTGTTTCAATCTGTTCAACCTGTTTCAAGTGTTGTCAATCTCTGAGTAAGCTGTGGCATGACTGAAAAGACTGGTAGGAGAGTGAGAATTTCCTGGCCAGATGCTTCCACACCAGGTGATCACTTCTTCCGTAATTGAGAGGTGACTATGTGGAAGTTATTTCCAAAGGTTCTATTGTGCAGTGAAGACATTCAGATTATTTGTAAGAATTTCACCAACACCTACATGTATTGAAATGCTTAACATTATCATAAAAAGAGACATTTACTCAAAGTAGGAGATTTGCTGATGTGAAGAGTGTTTCTATTTTATTACTAAAGGTTCTATTTGATGCCACAAACTAACAGAATCATGCCAGGTAGTCATGTTTATTTGTGAAAATATCTGGCCCTAAAAACCATTCTCTTTCCCTTATACGTATGTGAACTCTGCCTAGTATCATGTTCCTAATAGATTTAATATGTTTTTGTGCATTCTCAGCAAAGTAAAATATCTTTTTTTCTTTTTTTGAGTAACTTTTCATAGTGTGGAGAGCCAACAGTGTGCTAGTTTCAACATTTCAGATAAGGGCAGAATTGTGTAATTTAGTGCCGCATTATTCATTGCTGAGGTTCATATATAATGAATAAAAGAATTGAAAGGGTTTGAATGACATTTCCTTCACAAAAAAGCAAGGATTAAGAACAATGAAGAGAAGACAGTGAAAGAATATATACTATGTATGACACATTATATACTTAGGATATGTTTTTGTTGCACTGAATTTCAGGCTGTAATTGTTAAAATAGTTTCTAGATGTTAAATTTGGTGAGGGGGTTTTTGATGTCAGAATTTTTGTACTTCTGATTGAATTAACCTTTGAAATCCCCATAGGCTATAACTTCAGCTCTTGCTGTAAACTGAAAGCTAACTGCCCTTTCTCAGAAATAGCTGTATATTTCATCTGCCTTTTCCAGGCAACCCAACATTCATTTCATGAAATATTGTAAATATTGAGAAGGTATAATGGGGTGATAGCATATAAAAAAAATGTTCCAAAATGAGACTTCTCTGTAATGGGGTTTGCCCTAAGAAGAATCTATCCTGGTACAATATATATTTTGAAAAGGTGCTGAATTAAAAAACACAAGAGTTCGCTCATGTAAATCAAGTTGCTCAGGAAATTTGAGGTGATACTGTTATTTGTCTTATAATTTGTAAAAGTGAACTCTTGAGAGAGACCACACAGCGTCCAGCCACTTTCATATTCTTCATAAGAGATCCTTTGACATTTGAAATGTGGATATATTTATAAAAACAAATGAGATATCCCAAGTGCTCATCAATTTATAGCCAAGCGCCACAGAGAAAGGCAGCTTTGAAATAGCTATTTCATGGAACAGAACAGAACTTTGATGGAATATAGTTGCCTGTCTGAGGACAGAAAACAAAGAGGCCACCTAAAACCACATGCCTAACTGTGAGGGACACTTTATGGATGCCTTAAAGGTGACCGATGGTAGGTACTGGTGGGTATGTATGCACCCATCTGGACTAGGCTAGTGGAAAGTCTGTTTCAATTCACCTTCACACAGCACAATTTATTCCTGCTCATGACCTCATTGAAGAAAATGAAAAACACGGTGCTGGTGACTTTCATGTGTCTTGGGAGCTTGAGATGGTCAGTGTCATTAAAGCACTCTCCAGTACTCAAGCTTCCCTTACATGCCAATTGTACTCGTACATCTGCTCATGACCTCATTGAAGAAAATGAAAAACACGGTGCTGGTGACTTTCATGTGTCTTGGGAACTTGAGATGGTCAGTGTCATTAAAGCACTCTCCAGTACTCAAGCTTCCCTTACATGCCAATTGTACTCGTACATCTGCATTAATTCATCTATGCAAGCTTGTGTTTTCTTGGTTTGTTTTTTCCACCTTCTGTCCCATTTGGTTCTTTAAACATCAGGTTTAACATTGATAATATGCATAATTTTTAAACCAAAGTATTGTATAAGTCTGTGTGCTTTTGTTGTTCTGGATGATTTGACCGAGGTGAAAACCAATCTTGTCCTTCTCTCTTAATAAAGTCATCCATTTGTTAAGTCAGTAGTCTCTGTCTCATGTTTTCTTTACTGCATTCAAGGACTTGTGAAGTTATGGGAGTATTATTTTTTTCTTCTTTACAAAATAACCCTAATATGTCTTTATTTAATAACAGTACAATTTTCTCTTATTCCAGTTTCGTCCACTTTCTGTAAACAAGTATAACGTGGTACAGATGCCTAGTACATTGAAATTCTCAACAAATACTCCCAAGTGTAAATCAGAGAAGTAGCTTTGTTTTGTGTTTGGTGACTTGATTCATGTATGAGGGTACATCAGAAAGGACATGGAAAGGTTTGTATTATCTTTTCATTCTATTTTACCATGAACATTTTGAAGTACCCTCATATTTGGGAGAAAAAAAATAGGTAGGTGGATGTTCACACAATAATCCTAATTACTTAAGATTCCCTGAGAAAACTCAGGCTGCACTCTACCTGAAACCTTGAAGATACTTATATGGGTTTTGAGAAAATGGATATTAATAACTACCATTTATTTAATTAGCAGGTATCTTAAAAATAAGATACTATTTTCAGTGATTACTAAATTGATTTAGTTTAGTAAACACAAACTAATGGCTGTAACAAAATCAGTGTACTAAAGAAATCAGCAGGAATAAAGAGACCGGAGTCTTAGTCCAGATTTTGCTATGATCTTGCTTCAGGACTTTTGGATATCATTTATCATCTGTACCTCAGTTCTCTTATCTGTATGGTAAGCACTTTCTCAGATATACCATTCTAAGACTCCTGTTGTTAAAGGATTCTGAATTCTTTTAAGACATTGCCAGGAAGAGAGTGGCTTCATGCACTACTGGGGGCCTGAAAAGTCATATAGTCTTCCTAGGCATTTGTCTGAAAAGCCTCAATCCTGATCATATGTTCTTACCGCACTATTCTGCTACTTCTAGCTCAACACCCAATAGATTGTCATTCACTTGTATGTGTTCCTCTAGCCAAAATCTGTCTGGTTTTTCATCCCCAAGCTTCACGTTTGAGCCTCCTTCATCCAGTGGTCTTTGGATGTTCTTATAAATCCTTTGTACCTCTCACTAGAATATTTTGCTTTTCATACTCCCAAAACACCCACTTTTCTTACCAATTCCTGAGCCAAATTAGGCGGATTTGGGGCATGTTAATCATAACATGTCCTTAATTATACTTGCCACTCTTTTAACTATTTAGTGTCAATGTTCACCTGGTCTTTGCCTTCACTAGCAGTTCTCAGTGCCTGACTTTATTGAAGCCTTTCCTGCTGACCTGCCAACCTCATGCCCTCAAACCCCTGACCAGGCTTTGGGGGCTCTCACGCACAGAGCTTGGGTCATGTGAGTATGTGTGTGTGTCTGCAGGTAAGTCTGTCATTGGCTATAAGCATGTGTGTGTAAATGACAATGGACTTTTCTGTCCTGAAGAGTACCAATTGGAGTACATCCATTTTTCCTGTTGTGGATCATGCTTTTGGTGTCAAGTTTAAGAACTTTATGTAGCCCCAGATCTTGAAGATATTCTTCTGTATATTTTTTCTCAATGTTTTGTGGTTACACATTTGTCTTTAATCCATTTTCAGTTCATTTTTATATGAAGTGTGAGGTTCAGGTAGAGGTTTATTCTTTGCCTCAGTGCTCAATTGCTCCAGCACCATTTTTTGAACAGGCCCTCTTTCTCACCTTGAATTGCTTTTGCACCTTTACAAAAAATCAGCTGGGCATATTTTGTGTGGTTCTACTAATGAGTTCTCTATTTTGTTCTATTGACCCATGTTTCTGTCCCTCTGCCAATAACACAGTCTTGATACTGTAGCTAAGTAGTACATCTTGAAATTGGCTAGACAGATTCCTTGAACTTTATGCTTTTTCAAAATTCTTTTAGCAATTCTTTCTTTGTCTTAGCATATAAATTTTAGAATAATCTAGTATAATATCTATGAAAAATCTTTCTGGGATTTTGAAAGGAATTGCCTTAAGCCTCTGCATCAATTTGGGGAAAATTGACATCTTTACTATGTTGTGTTTTCCAGGCCATGATTATGGTATGTGTATCCATTGTATCTTCATTAATTTCTGTCATCAGTAATGTGTTGTTTTCAGTATATACCTCCTGTGTGTGTTCTGTTAGATTTTCTCGTATTTTGTTTTTGACATGATTATAAATGGCATTATATTTTTAATCTGTGTCCAAAAGTTCATTGCGAATATATAGAAATAAATTGATTTTTGTATGTTTACGATGTATCCTGTTACCTTTCTGAGCCTCTTTTATCTTGTGAGCTTTCTGAACTCATTTATTCTAATTTTTTATAGTTTTACTGGGATTTTCTATGTAGACAATCATATTATCTTCAAATAGGGGAAATTTTATTGCTTCCTTTCTTTTTATATCTTTTATTTTTTATTATACATATGTGTGGGGTACAACATTGATTTTCAATAATTGTGTAGAATATGTGATGGTTAGGGGGCCGGCCCGGTGGTGCACTGCTACAGTGCGCCGCTTGGGAGCGCGGCGGCGCTCCCGCCGAGGGTTCGGATCCCACATACAGACCGGTTCCTGCTCACTGGCTGGGCGAGGGGGGGGGGCAACACCCCGGGTG